GCACGACTGCATGTATACACGTAATACGCGTGCGCGCATGCATGGGCATAGAAAGTGCACCTGGACCAGGAGTCTCATCGGATGTTGGCTCGGGCGCACGACCGCGAAGGGCTACCCCTGCGTCCTTGTAGGCGACCTTTGCAGTCACATCATACGCCCCAGGCCCTGGAGCATCACGACCGACCTGAGCGAAAAGAACACACAGAGAGCACAAAAGTTGCATGGTGTGCCTTCATCGATGAGAAGAGGCTCAGAAACAACGTGCTTCCACCCCACCCCCCCCCCCTCTTTCTTTCTCTCTCTTGAAACACGAATAGGCACAAAACAAGGGCGTGCGATCTAACATCTCATTCATTCATTCACAATAAATGAGGCTGATGCTTGCTCACCTCGTGCGCTGTTAGCATGCACTCCCTTGCCCGTGGCTGCGACACACCTTCAAGTTGAAGAATAAACACACGCGCACACGCACACACGCACACACGCACACACGAACACACGCGCACACGCACACACGCACACACACACGCACAAACCAACACACGCACACACGCACACACGCACACATGCACACACGCAAACACACGCACACAGAACGGAGGAAATGACAGGCAGCACGTGAGCCTAAGAAAAGCACAACCAGAAGGACGCTTCGTACAGCACACCAGCCCTACAGCGCACCTGCTTGTGTCGAATCGGGACAGCTTGATTCTGAGGCGGAGTCCTCAGTCTCCACAACACCGAGATCAACCCACGAGGTTGGAAGGAATCCCCCATCGGTGCCTGCGTACGGGCTGGGTGCCGTGTACTCCTGGGGATTGTAGGCACGGGACCACGCTGGCTGCAGCCATGAGTGCGGCCGCCCTTTGGTCGCAATTGGCTGTACCTCTGCGGGAGTCGGCGACGCAGCAACAACGATATCGATAAGCTGGTTGGCCTGTGTGTGCCTCTGTTCGATGGGGGTGGTGGTAGTGATGGGAATTTGTTGTGGTGTGGACAGCCGATGAAGTTGCATCTTGACTGCATCCTTCAATTCCCGAAGATCAACGATGTCACTCGCGACATCGTTCGCGTCCGCCAGCTCACTTCATTGCCCAAGCACGAGAAGCAATGAAGAAGGCAAACCAGCGCAGGAAGCGAATCAAGGTTGAAAGGGAGTATCTATGAGCGGGTGAGGGGAAACAAGGGTCAAGCGGGTGGCAGGCTTCCACGCGACACGCCGACGCACGCGCAGCTTCACACACAGCTTCACACACAGCTTCACACACAGCTTCACGCACGCGCTTCACTCACGTGTGCACTTCACTCACGGGCTCGATGAAGGGTCTGCTTCGCAGTGGTTGCAACAGCAAGAACAGCAGTGTTGGTCGAATGGTACGTCACAGCAACAGCAGCAGGAGCAACCCACTGCAACCACACCACTGTCGTCGCACGCATTCACTGCCAGCATCGCTGTTGGTTGTTGGCCGTTACAACACATCTGGCATATAAAAATGACACTTGTATTTTATTAGAGAAGGTGCGACACAATCCGCGCAGTAATTTCAAACAGCAAGTTCGATTGCTTTGCAGAGTCTGTTTTACGTCAGAATCAATTATTTTGTGTTGTCTACTTCTACCGCCAGCGGTTTGAATCCACAATCCAAGATGGCTCACACAAAGACGAGCGGAGGGTTGGATGCTCAGCTCGTTCACGCACTCCTCATGGACGGGAGTGAGATGACTGATACAGACACTGTGCGTCTGGTGATTGCCCCTGCAAAGACTTACCAAGCAATACATGTCGACAAGCTCGGCGACAGTTACATTCGAGATCATTTCCGGTAAAGCGATGAAGGGTGGATTCGTGCTTGTTGAGTTGGTGAGTGCTTGAGTTTGACGAGGCAGCACAGTTGTTTCACGCACGCACGCATGGGACTTTGTGTTGCACTACAGGTTGAGAAACGCTCAAGAAATGAAGAGACTTGCTCGAGCCCTTGCAGTTCGCTCCAAGTATGACTGTGGTGTCGGCTACAGGTATGATTTTGTACTCTGTGTGAGTTGCCCCTTGTCTTGATGCTTGTGTCTTGCATGGAAGTGTAACATCTACCAGGTACATGTCACCTGAAACCTTCCCTTGCGTTTGGTTCACAATTGTAGGGTGGATGGTATGACGGCTCTTGCTTTGCTGCTACGTCGGCTCGCCTTTCCCTGTCGACTCAAGGACCTCTTGCGGCTCTTTCGACTGAAGTGGTCGGTGACAAAAGTTGGACGAGTCATACACGCTATTGCGGGAGACCTGGCGCGCCGCTTCGGGCCCAAGGTATGCGTGTGTTGATGCTTTAATTTTGACCGTGTGCAAAGGCCAGAGTGTGCGCCGTCCTCACCATCACCCCTCCCATCAACCAACGGTTCCAGGTACAGCTTAGCCAGGCGCTCTTCAAAGACGCGGACATTTATGCGAAGGCCATCGCAAGACAGCTTGCGGTTAAAGGCATGAGAAACCCTCCAAGGGATCTGTGTGGATTTGTTGATGGATCAAGGATCGAGGTGTGTCGACCGATGCGCATGCAAGACGTCCTCTACTCCGGGTGAGTTCGTGCTGCTCTGGTGATATGTCGATCTGCTGAGCATGTGTCGCCAACCAACCACCCCTGCTCACTCAGTGACCCTCTGTTGTGTGTAGGTACAAGAAGAATCACAACCTCCTATACCAGATCATTGCCCTGCCAAATGGCCTGATCGTGTCCGCCAACGTGTTCCCAGGACGTTACAATGATGCCAAGGCATCGTTTGTTTCTGAGCTCGATGCACTTGTTCCGGCTGGGTATCGGCTTCTGGCGGACTCTGGGTACGGGAAGTCAAGGAGTGTGCTTGCTTTGGATCGGCCACAGCGCAAGAAGAAGGCCAACAAGCACCGCATGCAATCGCGTTCAACTGCCGCAGTCACTCGAGACAATAACGACGAAAGCGTGCAGGACCAGGCGGAGACGGACCAACATGGTGGTGCGTCGTCAACACAGGAGACACTTCGTCTTGCCCGTCAACGACGCGATCGAAAGGCATTGAGTAGTGTTCGCACTGCCGTTGAGGATGTCATTGGACGTAAGTGGATTGTGCTACTTGCGATGGCGGTTCTGTGTGCCCCAATTGTTCATTGTACATGTCTGTGCCTAAAGTGCACTGTAAGGTCCTCACTCCGCGTGAATGTTTGTGGTGTTGGTGGACTGTCAGAATGGAAGGAGCACTTCAAGGCCATGTACTACTCAAAGCAGCTACGCACGCTTGGATCTCCCGTACTTGACTTGGTTATGTGCTCTCTTCTGCTCCAGAATTGCCTGGCGTGCCTCCATCCAAACCTCGTGGCAAGGCGGTTTGGTGTTCCCCCGCCACCCCTTGAGTTATATCTGAGCGCGTGACACGCTACGTGCGCACGCGTGTGTGTGTGTGTGTGTGTGTGTGTGTGCGCGCGCGTTTGTGTGTGTGTGTGTGTGTGTGTGTGTGTGTGTGTGTGTGTGTGTGTGTGTGTGTGTGTGTGTGTGTGTATGTTCGTGTCGGGGGTGTGTGTATGTGTGTGTGTTTGTGTGTTCGTGTGTGTGTATGTTCGTGTCGGGGGTGTGTGTATGCGTGTTCGCGTATGTGTGTGTGTGTGTGTGTGTTCGTGTTGAGGTGTGTGTGTGTGTGTGTGTGTGTGTGTGTGTGTGTGTGTGTGTGTGTGTGTGTGTGTGTGTGTGTGTGTGTGTGTTCGTGTGCGTGCTGGATCATGCTTCAAACAGAGCTGTTTATTGACTGGCTATTAAACACGTAACACGTAAGAACTGGTGCACAAATTTCACAATACCGTGTCATTTGACTCTCTCATCTTCTTCCTCTCCTGCAACTCGTCTCTACGGAGAGCAAGCTCCTCGGCCATCATTCCCAGCCTCGCTCTCTCGATCTCCACTCTCTCGCGCTCGAGCCTTACCTTCTCACGCTTGATGCTTAATGTTTCTTCTTCGATGGCGAGTCTCCTGGTGTGGTACTCCTCTTCGTGCTTCACTCGAGCTACTTCAGCCTTCATCTCTCTGCAGCACGCACGCAAAGATACGATTACACAGCATGTAGAGACACGAGTGGGCGGCAGAACGAGTGAGATTGTCGTGCAAGCAGGATGAGATCAAACAACGCACAAGCGGCAACTCGCAGGTGCAAAGCGTGCAGCGTACCCCTCTCGTGCGGCCGCCATTCGGGCTAGCGTCTGGCTGTGGTCCGGTTCTGAGGGGATGGGCTGATTCATTCTGTTCGCTTCCGCGTCCTCAAACGACCTGCATCAAACAAACACGAGACACGACGTCATCGAGCACTGACCATGGTTGCCCACATGGTGCAAGGACAAGACGTGCACAACATACGAGTTTCGCTTTTCCATCTCCGCCCAGAGATCCCCGTCACGAAAATCCTGTCCCAGGACTTGATCCCTCGCCCTCTGCTTCGCACGCCCCTGGAGGAACGCGAACGGCAGGCGCGACAAGGTGAGGGCCGGTTTCATCACAACATATCCACAATCCTACAAGAATTCATCCTACAATCAGTGTGATGTCAGCTCATACCTGTTCAGAGAGGAGAGTTTCCACCGTTGTGCGTACTTCCTCAGACACAGCGAGGCTTGATGCAGATGCTTTTCCTGTTTGTGGTTGCTGCTTGTCCTCTTCCACGACACTCTTGATGGTACTGCGATAATGACTTTGAATGCTCGGCTTGGTGAGATGACACTTGAATGTGTCATTGAATTCATCCACAACCTCTTGCCACAACGCAGCCACCCCCCGCGCACGCGTCATGACATGAATGTCTCGCTTCATGATCATGCTCAGCAACGACTGTGTCTGCTGCATCGTCCAATTGTGGTACTTGCCCTTCTTCGCCCGCGGCTCCGCGTGATCACCTTCAACACTGCCACCACGTTGGTGGCCGTTGTCTTGGCTGCTGCTGTCATCCATCTTGCACAGCTCCATGGAAACTTAACCGTGGCATACGCAAAAGGCAGGCATCAAATCACATTGCTGCCAGAGCAAAAATCTCGAACTTTTGCTCTGGGAGCGTCGTTTTTTTGCTGCTTGAGTGCTGACGTCAGCATAAACTGGATTTGCTGTTTAGATTTGCTCGTTAATTTGATTTCGCACTTTCTCTATTAGTACACAAACATCCATGTGTAAAATGAAATAGCACATTGTTGACGAAAGTTGGAGGCGAAAAGAAAGTTCACTGGTTCGAAAACCTGGTGTGTTTCCTTTTTGAGTGTTTTTTTGGTTAGTGAGGTTGGCTTGTCCGCTTATTGTGGTAACTTGCCGAAGGTGGAAACAGTTTTGATTGTCCCAGCATGTGGGCTGCTGCACGTCCGACTTTCCAGTAATGACAACTGACACCCACGCCCCCGCAACTCACTCTTTTGACATGCCAAGCGAGTATTTTTCGTCGATGGCGAACACACGTATGTGTCCCATTTTTCTTCGTGCTTGCGGTCTAGACCCAAACAAAGCGACACACAGGGCGGGTGTTGCGCAACATCAATTGTTGACAAAGCTTCGCTGACTCAATATCATTCATTCACCTCACACCACAACTTGCATTCACCTCTCTTGTGTTTGGAATGTTCACGTCAGTTCCTACAACTTGTTGCACAGTGGTGATAGAAGTGGCTGATAAGGCACGGCAATGTAATTGGAAAGCGTCACCTGCATGAACGCGTTGCAGCTGTACACATAGTCCTGTACCTCGGAATACGAGCGCTGCCACGTACTGCTTTTGCATGATCGCATCTGTGTTTTCAGACACGCATACCTCCCTCTCGAGGAGAGCTTGATGTTGACACTCCGCTTGTGAATAACGCATCACCTGTCAAACCGCGATGCTATCGCCTCAGCTCACATGAGTTCACCACAATGCAGGAAATGGTCAAGGACCTCCTGGACAAGCAATGGATCCAACCGTACACTTTTTCAACTCTATTGCTTGTCAGCAAAAGACAAAAGCTTGCGTAAGCGCACTGATTATCGAAAAACCCCAACACACATAGTCCTATCTCAGTTTAAAAGCAAATGAACATTATCTGAGCGCGTCCTATGCATATCACCAAATTAGACTCAATCCACAACTGTTGAACACTCATGGTGGTAGTGCTGTTGTTGGAGACGTGTGTGTGTGTGTGTTTACTTGAGTTGTGAAGCAAACAAGGATGTACCATGAACGAGAGACGCTCTCACACATAGACAGAAGGCTGCAGGAGAAAGAAAAGCACCACGTGGCAAAACAACCAGAAACGCCCGTTTCTAAGCGCATGTGCACAGAAACATTTACGGCAGGATTTGCTCACTCAACAAGCATTGACACTGGAACCGTGATGACAGCACGAACCTACACAAGCCCTAAGCGCACAATCAAAGCTGAACAAGGCTTATGCGCGCAACTCAGGCATAATAAGCCGCAAATGCACTCAGAGTCGAACAAGTACGATCAGTACAATCTAATCATAAAAATGAAACAGTGGGTGTTCAACACTCATGATGTTGTGTTACATGCAACAGCATGTGAGCTTGAGCAATGCAAGTTAAACATTGCACGTGCAAGGAAATCACGTGAACATTCCAGAACACAAGAGAGGTGAATGCAAAGTTGTGGTGACGTGAACAAGGGAGGTCAATGATGACTCAGCAGACAGGACTTGCCTGTCAACAGCATGCTTCGGCATTCTGAAGGCAAGGTTCAGGATGCTCTACACGGGGTTTTCATCGTGCGAGGATACAGTTAAATTACACCAATACGAACTCATGAATGTTCATGGTGGTGGTGCTGTTGTTGGAGACTTGTGTGTGTGTGCTGTGTGTTGTGTGGGAGATTGTCTTGGCAAGAGAGAGTTGTGTGTGTTTACTTGAGTTGTGAAGCAAACAAGGATGTAGGTGTTGCAAGTTCATGGTGGTGGTGCTGTTGTTGGAGACTTGTGTGTACTGTGTGTTGTGTGCTGTGTGTGTGCTGTGTGTTGTGTGGGAGATTGGCTTGGCAAGAGAGAGTTGTGTGCGTTTACTTGAGTTGTGAAGCAAACAAGGATGTAGGATGAATGAACACTCCAACAGAAAGAAACAGAGCAGAAGACAAGAATTGTCGACAACGCAAAGTGGTGACGTGGCAGTGTTTGTTGAGAGTTGTGTGGTTATGTGGTGTGTTATGCAAGAGCATGCAACATCGAGCAACCACAGCACAAGCTAAACACTGCACGTGCAACAGGTTGGAGGGAAATCACGTGAACATTCCAGAACACAAGAGAGGTGGATGCAAATTTGTGGTGTCGTGTAGAAGGGAGGTCAATGATGACTCAGCAGACAGGACTTGCCTGTCAACACTCCCCCGCATTGACCTACCTCTCTGTTGCGTTGACGTTCTGAAACGTGATGAGCATGTGGATGATGTCATGCATGTAGGAATGGCATGGGCAGAGGTAGGTGAGATGTGAGTAAGGACGTGTGTTGTGGAACACGTTTAAGAAAATGGTTGGTGCCTGTGGTGCGCAGCCTGTTGTGGAAGGCTGGCCCGAGTGAAGGCGTGTCCTGTGGTGCGCGGCCGCTCAGAGGTCCTGACGCGGAGTCGAAGGACGTGGCGACCGGCCCGAATGAGGACGGGCCCGTGGCTGGCAGCCTGGCAGAGGACGCTGGTCGAACAGCATCGTGCAGAACTGAGCCGTCTTGGGCCGAGGGAGGATCTTCGTGAGGAGATCTGCGATCATGTGCTCCGTGGCGAGGTAGCTCAGCACAATCCTCTTGGTGTCGACGCACTCGCGGATGTATTGATACTTGACGAGGATGTGCCGCATGCGCGAGGCGGCGTGTTCGGCAACGCGCTGCGCCGGCTGGTTGTCCGTGTGG